CTCCTGGAGCTCCCCGACCCCTCGCTGGACGACGCGGTGAAGGCAGCGCTGGCGATGGAAGCAGCAGCGAAAGACGCCAGCGAGATAGCGCGTGCGGCCGGCTCACCGTCGACGGAAGCGGCGGTGAACAAGGTGGCGGCAAGGAGCGGTGCCTGCAGCCGCTGCGGTGCTGCCCACTCCCCCTCACAGTGCCAGTTCGTCCACGCGCAATGTTTCACGTGCGGGAGAACTGGGCACCTCGCACGTGTCTGCCGAGGGGGGAGGACGAGCGGCGGCCAGCAGCAGCAGCAGCCTGGTTCAAGCCCGGGTTCCAGCCAAGCCCGCGGCCAGGGTGGTCGTCGCAAGAAAACGCGGCGGGGACGAGCGGCACCAGGCCCGGGTTCGTCGTCAGCCAGGGTCCACGTCGTGGCCAAGGACCCGCAGATTTTCGACGTGCGGCAGACGAGTAAGCCTCCATCGTCCGTGCCACCTTACTTGGTGTCCGTCGAAATCTGCGGCCACCCCATCACCATGGAGCTGGACACAGGGGCCAGCGTGTCGGTCATGCCCGGGAAGCTGTTCAAGCGGACCTTCCCCGGCGTGTCCATCGAGGCGTCTGACGTCATGCTGCGCAGCTACTCCGGGCAGCTTTCCCAGGTCCAGGGTCGGGCCCAAGTCAGCGTTCGCCTTGGCGACAGGGAGGCAATCCTTCCCCTTTACTTAACCAAGGGGTCGTCGCCGACGCTGCTGGGCCGGAACTGGGTTCACTCGCTGGGTGTTCGGCTGCCGGAGTACCAAGAAGCTGCGCTGCACGTGGTGCAAGACATCCCGAGCCTCCTGACCGACTTCCAGTCCCTGTTCCAGCCGGGGGTGGGCACCTTCGCCGGCACGACGGTCGGCAGCCACGTTCCTGAGGGAGCCCGGCCTCGATTCTTCAAGCCGCGTCCGCTGCCGTTCGCCCTGAAGGACGGGGTCACCCAGGAGCTGCAACGGCTGCAGCGAGAGGGAATCCTGGTGCCCGTCAAGTCTTCCGAGTGGGCTGCACCGATTGTTCCAGTCCTCAAGCGAGACGGCCGCGTCAGGATCTGCGGGGACTGCAAGGTCACCATCAACCCCGTCGCTACCGTCGAGAAGTACCCGCTGCCTCGGGTAGAAGATCTCTGGTCGGCTCTGTCCGGGGGACAGAAGTTCACCAAGCTCGACCTTCGAGATGCCTACCAGCAGCTGGTACTCCAGGATGCCGCCCGGAAGTATGTCACCATTTCAACAACCATGGGACTCTTCCAGCACACGCGCCTACCGTTCGGCGTGGCCTCAGCCCCAGCCATCTTCCAGAGAGAGATGGATAACCTCTTCAGGGGCATGAGGCACGTGGCGGTGTACTTGGACGGCATCCTGGTTACCGGTACCGACGACGGGGACCACCTGCAGAACCTGCGCAAAGTCCTGACACGATTGCAGGACGCCGGTCTCAAGCTGAGGCTGGACAAGTGCATGTTCCTGACCCCCAGCGTGGAGTACCTGGGACACATCATCTCCCAGGCTGGCCTGGCCCCGGCACCCCGCAAGATTGAGGCCGTGCTCAAGGCGCCGAAGCCCAAGAGCAAGAAGGAGCTTCAAAGCTACCTCGGCCTCATCAACTTCTACAGGAGGTTCCTGCCCAACCTGTCGACGCATCTGGAGCCACTGCATCGCCTGCTTCGTGATGGGCAGCAGTGGGCCTGGAAGAAGGAGCAGGACTTGGCCTTCCAGCGCAGCAAGGAGCTCGTTGTTAAGGCTCCAGTGCTGGCGCACTTCGATCCGGCCAAGCCTGTAGTCCTCACCGTGGATGCGTCGCCGTACGGGGTAGGAGCCGTCCTGTCGCACCGGGGTCAGGATGGTCAGGAACGCCCTGTGGCGTTTGCTTCTCGTCGACTACATGCGGCGGAGCAACGCTACAGCCAGCTCGACAAGGAAGGCTTGGCCCTCATCTTCGGGGTCCAGCGCTTCCATCAGTACCTGTGGGGCCGGCAGTTCGAGGCAGTCACGGACCACAAGCCGCTGCTGGGGCTGCTGGGACCTGACAAGGCGGTCCCAGTGCAAGCATCGCCTCGTGTGGTACGCTGGGCCTTGACGCTGGCAGCCTACAGGTACAAGCTGGTCTACCGCCCTGGGAAGGACCTGGGACCTGCTGACGCCTTGAGCCGCCTGCCCCTGCCGGAGGTGCCTGCTGCCGTTCCAGAGCCAGCTGACGTGTTCCTGCTGGAGCGGGCCTACCCGGGGGTGCTTACCAGGACTGCGGTGGCGCAGGCGACCAGCCGGGACCCGGTCCTGTCTCAGGTGGTCAAGGCGGTTGCCCGAGGGGAGGAGCTGCGTCACCAGGCATACAGCCACAAGACCGCCGAGCTGAGCTTGGAGCAAGGCTGCCTCCTGTGGGGTTCCAGGGTGGTGATTCCACAAAGTCTGCGGGCCAAGGTGCTGCAGCTGCTGCACGCGGGGCATCCTGGCATTGAAAAGACCAAAATGGTGGCACGGTCGCACGTTTGGTGGCCTGGCTTGGACCAGGACATCGTGCACCAGGTGCAAGGCTGCCAAGTCTGCCAGGAGAACCAGCGAGCCTCGCGCCACGTGGAAATCACCCCCTGGCCGTTCCCACAGAGGCCGTGGTCCCGCTTGCATGTGGACTATGCGGGACCCTTCAAGGGCCACTACTTCCTGGTGGTAGTGGACGCCTTCTCCAAGTGGGTGGAGGCACTGCCAGTCACCAGTCCCTCGGCAAGCGCGACCATTGCGGCTCTGCGGCAGGTCTTCGCGGCGCAGGGATTGCCGGACATCATTGTGTCCGACAATGGTCCCGCTTTCGCTAGCGCCGAGTACCTCGACTGGCTGCAGAGGAATGGGATCCGCCGGATGCTGGTTCCGCCGTACCACCCCGCTTCAAATGGTGGAGCAGAGCGGGTGGTACAGACCCTCAAGAACAAGCTGAAGAGGAGCCAGCCCGGGGATTTCCGGACGCAGGTGGCCCGGGTGCTATTCCAGTACCGGACCACACCTCACGAGGTCACTGGCCGTGCCCCCTGCGAGCTTCTGCTGGGCCGGATGGTCAAGACACCCTTGGACGTCTTGCACCCAGACCTCCGGTCCTCGGCGCTCCTGAAGCAGCTGAAGCAGAAGCTGGCTGCTGACCGAGGGTGCCGTCCCGGGCCTTTGCCGGAGCCGGGAGCGTCGGTGTACGCCAGGAACTTCCGTCCTGGCCCACCCTGGTCTGCCGGGCGTGTGGTTTCACCAGCGAGTGCCTCATCGCTGCTCGTCCGCATGCCCGACGGGACCACCTGGCACCGGCACGCCGACCATGTCAGGCCTCGTTCCGGGACCTGGCTTGCACCCTCGGCCGTCGCTTCAGAGGTCCAGCCTGCAGGGGGCCCAACAGCACCAGTCGTGGCGAGCGGAGCGCCACCCACCCCGTAGGCGACAAGCATCGCCACTCCCGTGGCACCAGTGCCACTCCCAAATCCGGTCCCTGCAGCTCCACCGGGTGGAGCGCGACCGGTTCAGGCAGCGCCCGACGTTGCCACACCTGGCCCGTCGACACCTGTACCCAGGCGGAGTGCACGGCAGCGGAGGCCACCTGACCGCTACTCGCCTGGGTGATCTTCATCATCGACCGGCCAGGACTTTGCACGATCAGACGCCGTGTTGGTGTCGGCCGTGCGCGTCGTGTATTTAGTTTTTTTTTGTTTTTAGGAAAAACAAACTGGGGGGGAGGAGTGTAACAAGTTAGTGGCGCCCCCCTCCAGTCCGCCCGTCCGCGGCCGCCTGGCTCGGCGGGCAACATTGTTCACCTCACGAATAAACACCGTTGAGCACACGCTGCTCCAGTCAGACATCGTCCACCCTCACTACCAGGCTGCGTGTCGTCTCTCCTCGGCGGGTGCTTCGGCCCCCTTCGTCCACGTTCGAGAAAGATCGTGACAGTTCAGTGATATTACAGAAACATGACCAACACCATGATGGTACGTTTTTGATGCTATATGATTTGTCCCAGCAGCTCGTTGCCTCGGTGGCGGCCGAACTTATGGTGAAACGAAGTAGGGTATTTGACTTCCTTTATCATCATGCCAAAACGTATTCGATTGAGAAACAGGTCCCGCAGCTATTCTGTGACATCAGCTTTTGTGTGTTTTACTGAGCTGTTTAAGAGACATTGGCCCAACGTTTTCAGATACTTGCATTGGTGAGGCGTTTGTGCACATGTTTCGACCGAGGAGGTCACTATGTTGAAAATGACTTTTCATAAACTCTGTACTACCCCGCAAAAAAATAAAAAATTTGCTGTTACCTTTTTTATTTTTCCTTGTAGTTTTTAATTATGGACAGTAAATTGGTGGATATGAAAACATTTAAAAATACGTTGTTCTCATATTTTTGTTAATATATGTGAACTATGTATATACCGGGGCTTCACATGCTGTGCATGATAAAGTCCCTTTTTTTGCCTTGCCTCTGGCCTTGTCATGGCCCGCCAAGGGTGCGTCCTCTTCGTCCGAGAAGGACAGACCGGACTCGCTGGAGTCGCTGCCCGCTCCGTGATCTGCGGGTCCGTCATTCTCGGGGTGTAGGGGACCGTCGCACATGTCCCGGCACTCCAAGCACGCGTTGTGCATGACGCAGGCTGCCACAATCGTCGTGACGATGCGTTCTGGGCGGCGAGCTTCATTGCACATAAGATGTCGAACCGCCCCTTTAGAATTCCAAATGCCTAAATGCCTCTCGCGTTGTTGCGTGCTTTGTGTCACACTTTCTGTGCTGCTCAGTCAGTCGGCCGCAATTCCTGTTGGGGACAAAGAGGCTTTGACGAAGCGGCTAAGCTCCGCGGAGGTTGTTGTCGAAGTGGGATCTTGTCTGCAGTCAAGATCGTCGGCAGCTCGGATCGCCTGTGCATGCATGCGTCGTGCACGAACCCGGTGTATTCTGCGCTGCAGTGAAGCAACCTCACCTCGTGGTTGCAGATGGCCTGAAGGAGGGCCGAAGGCAAAACATACCGGTTGTCATACGACTGGGCCTCCTTGCCATGAAGCCCCTTGCAAACGATGCGGCTCCCGCCGATTGTTCCGAAGACTCCAAGGAAGCCTGCTTTGGCTTTGAAACTGCAGATAATATGCATTGCCTTTTCCTCCATCGGCAGCGACACAAAGCATGGCCCGTGGGCTAAAGCAGCAAGACCAACTCGGTGCACCACCCTGCAAACAGTGGATTTGGAGAGTGCAGAGTGATCTCCAACAGACCTGGAAAATATAAAGAGAGCCAGCATCTAAATGATATAATAAAAGCTCGATGTAGAGCTAAGCACCTCTTATGAGTTGTGAATGCGAAAGCATGCAAGCCGCTCGTCAGCTCCCTTTTTCGTCTGCTGCGTACTTTTGGTCACCCGTCAGCGCGCGAGCTCCCCTGGGCAAGCTGATCTTGGACACGCATCGCCATGGGGTGAGCGGTCGTCAAAACTGACGACTAGGTGCCGTTTTCGCGCTTCAAATTGATGACGTCAGCTTGCTCCATGGGACAGTTAATGCTTTCGCATTAATAAATCAAATTTATTCTGTTCTTAAATACAGCCTACGCGTGTTTTGTCCTTGGAAATTTAAAGGGATCAGACCTCTTCGGTGGCGCCGAACAGCTAGTCACTGAAGACATTTTTGTAGTCAACCAGACATCTCAAAAAGTTTAAGAGGAACATCTACCCCCCCCCCCCCACCCCCTCCTCATGCCCAGCAGAGCACCCCACCCCATCTCTCGAACACTGACGTCTCTCTATGGAACCCTTACATATCTGCTAATTACAGCATAATCACGTGAATACGACACATAAAAGGAAAGGGGAGGAGGGCGAGGATACTACTAGTCCTGCGCTGGTCAGAGAGCGGTACTACGGAAGCGCAAATTCAGACATTAAAACACCGAGCAATTGGACAGGGGCACTATAGCTATAGACATACAGCGAGTTGTGGATGTCCATTATTTTGTCCAGGATCGAGAAATAACCGTGCCTGCAAAGTCACCCGAAAAACTTTATATGGGAAAGACTCCACACGAGTATGAGAGTCTGCTTGGTGACGTTTATGGTCGGCCGTCCCCGAGGGACTTGCAGCTGAGGGGCGAGCAACATCATGATTCTCTCAACTGAAGACCTTCAAAACGACGAAAATTACTTGCAGTCCTCGGGAGACTGGCGGGGGAGGATGCATGGTCTCCGGATACCCTAAGATATTGGCCACTTTGCGCCTGAAATGATAAAAAAAGAAAACTTATTTTATGCCGGACCTTTTTCCAAAGTGCAGGTGCATTCGTTTAATGTGTCTCATGGGCTTTAATATAGAACATAATTTATCGTTAGTTTGCATTCACGGGTATAAATCGACAAGCTGCTCATATCACATGTGCGCTTTGTGGTCTCTTTTTTTTTGGTGACCAGTGATTCATACAATGCAAGCCCGATAACAAAACAAACAAAACACAATTTATTCAGAGCACAAGTCGACTTTGTATGTATATTTAGAAAAAAAAGAAAACACACAGATTGAAGGACGGATTCCACGCGAAGTCTTTCCTTAGCCGTAAAGCGTTGCTAGTCAGGAGGGTCACCCTGCATTATATAAAATCTGACGAAATAAATAAAGCCCACATGCAAAACATCATTTACTAAAATATGACGACCGATGGTTGTTTTACCTTGCCTTTCTATATTTTACGTCCCAAGCAGCTTGCTGAATGAGATGGGAGTCAGTACGACATTCACTCCGATCTGAGTGAATAATTTTTACCTTTTTTATACATAATAACTGCTATAAGCTTGAAAACACCGTTGGAAGGTGGGCCAATGCAACATGCCCCGAAAAATTTTTTGATTAGAGCTCAAGATATTGCTTTAAGTTTTCCCATGAAATACTCCTTTTCCTATTTTTCGTTGTAAAACTCTCTAGGATTTTCCTGTCCACGTTAACGCTAAAACAAACAAAAAGAAAAAGAAAATCGTTCTAGCGGTAAATATTTCCGCCTTTTCGAGTGCTTCTTTCATGAACAAAAGTGATCGTCTGCTATTTTTTGCTGTGACTGCTATGTTGTTGTTTTATTGCCGTAGCCCAAGGCGAAGCCAATCCGTGCATAACATTCATGTGATAATCCCCGCCGTTCCAAAATCGAGTCGCGGATCGTTTACTCGCGATGTCACGTGGTATTTGCCGCTGATGTAGGAGACAGGTTACTTGGGTAATATTTAGAGCATAGCCGAGGTGACACTTATATGACATCATCAAGCTGAAATTTAGGGACCGCATTTTAGGGCGTTATAAACACACCAGTCGGAGACGCGTTTTGGGGCGCCTAACCTTCATGGAATGTCATCACACTCCGGATGGCGCAAACATCCTGTAGATTAGGTCAGTGATGGAACTCCCGCGGAGTCCCCTAACTCCCCTCCCTCCGCCTCCCGTTGTTTAAAGCGCCATCTAAATTTTCGTTTCGAAACTGCGCGTTCCATAGAGTACCAGTGAAACGCCATCTAAACTCTGTGCTTCGAATGATATGCCGTTCACAGAATACACAGCAGTTACCATACCAGACTTCCACCAGAAAATGTGGCGCGTCGAACGACGGGACGCGGGCTGTGGGGGGAGAGGGAAAGCACTGTTCGTGCAAGCAGCGTCAAGGGCAGGGTGTAAGATAGACAAATGGGGAAACGGCCCATAGAAGCCTACCGCAGCGCCGTGACCGGATTGTGTACTCGTCTGCTTTGGGTACCCCGGATCTGCGACAGATGGCGCTGCGGCGAGAGGAAAAAAAATTGGAATAGGATTTGCATGGAACTCTATGGGAGAGTGCGCAAAATAAACCGAGAGCACGACAGTCCTTCATTGAAAATCTTTGAGAAATCATCTCCGTCAGTTTAGCCGGTCGCCACCGGTGGCCCACCCGGAGTGATAGTTCGCGGTGCTCCACATAGATGGCGCCACAGAAAAAGAGAAACCCGAAGGGGACACAGTACGGTCGCTCATTTGGCTCTCGTTTCCCCAACTGTCTATCTTACACCCTGGTCAAGGGGCAGTTTCGTAACTCTGCTAATCTAGTAACGTTGGATGGCGCCGCCAACCCAGCAATTGTGCTCGTTCTACTGCGACGAAATATCGTCAAAGGAAAGGAAGAGCCCACAAAAGATTCTATACGGCATGAAATACGGCGCCAATTTGACGCGGTCTTGTGATACTTAGTTACCAGCCGAATGATTAAATGGAATTTAAAGTACAAAGTGTAGCCTTTACAGAGCACAAGCGATGATATTGCATTTCGCCGTAGTCTACACCCAGGCCCAACAGAAACACAGCCCAATTTTTATTCGTACCTTATGTTCAAACATAGATGATTATCCTCTATACCCACACCGGCTATAGGGAAGAATCATCTGTGTTTGAAAAGAAAACATAAAAGGTACAAATCTCTTTCGACGCCATCTGCGCGTCGATGTACGACTATGTTGTTAAGGAACGCACTAAGTAAAAATATAATCAAAAAAACGGATGGAAATAATTGCTTTGTGTTACTCTAGGTCAGCATGCGGTTGAAGTTTGAACAGAATTTCGTTCGTGGAAATAATTGCCTTGTGTTACTCTAGGTCAGCATGCTTTGTCGTCAGGAAATCTATTTCAGTTACGCTCTCGACGTGCAATCGGTAGATAGTGACCTTTGTTTCGTTTTGCGCAGTTTGCCTTTAGTGTGTCAGCTGTCCTGCAAACATTTGGCGAGTTAACAGTGGCTGTTAAAATAGCTTCACTGGTCCTGTGCTCTCAGAAGTATAAAAACAGCGGAAAACGTTTACAGAAAAATCATATACATCAACAATATGTTAAAAAAAACAGAAAAGTCACAGTAGCTGTAGTATTGATATAACGAAAAATGAACACATAAACATGCCACTAAAATTTGATCGGTTTGGCTAAGAATTATTATGTTCCTTAAGTTACCTGGGGGCAGACATATTATCCAGCTCCATGAGTCTATGCGTTGAGCACAAAAATAGTTGAGAGTGGTTGGGGGGGGGGGGGGGGGGGGGGGGGGTAAAACGCCATGGTTTGAATGCTGTAATGAGCTCTAAAAAATGGGACTTTCCAAGGTTTTGTGACTCGTTGGATATGCATATACTTTTTCTTTTAAGTCAGCTAAGCTGGTAAACTGTCGTACATTCATACTCATTTCAGCTTTACTATATTTACCACACAAGCGGTATCGATGCAAGTGAAACCTTTTTACTACATATAGCCGGCTAAATAATTTTTCCGTCGGAAATTCCGGTGAAACATTGCAAATGCTTCGTAGTGTATTTGTTGCTTGTAATAAAAATATCTTTTGTAGATTCGTATTAGTGATTGTTTGCCAAATTAAATGCTCGTAATTACTTTGTGAGTAAAATAGGGACTTATATAATAGCAACCTTATTCCATAAGGAGAAACCAAACTTTTAACCATGATATTTATAAAAATACACACAATATTGAGAAAAAAATTCTTGTAATTCAGGGACACTGATTGACCTAAAAACAATCGTAATCCCAAATGCGAAAATATTGACTGGAGTTGTTCTTGAAGGTCTGTCCAGCCTATAAAACCGGTCATCTGAAGCATATTTCTACACCTTAGAAAATATTGTACGTTGTTCCAAATGACTCATTAAAGTATTTGTTCGCGATGTTGCAAATATGTATTATTTGTATATATCCACAGCGAGATTTACCTAAAGCCTATGCTAAGCAGCAAAAGTGTTGTTATGTTGTGGGAGCAAGTCTCCCACCACGGCCGGAGGCCGCTGCCGAATGCCCAAACTGGACAACGGCGGAGGCGCGCAATAGCGCACGTATAGAAAAGCACAAAAGCCTATAAAAGAAGGCACACGCTCACAGAGATGAAGGGACGGACCGTGGCCACGGAGGCGTGCAGTTCGAACGCTCCGGCAATGTTTTACTTTGACCTTGATACTAACAATCCATTCCTGTTACTTTAATAAATGTAGTTTCTCGTTTTGGAAACCCCGGCTCCGTGTTGTTCTTCCCGGATGGGCATGCAGCAAGGCAACCCTACCACATGGCGCCCCACGTGGGGCGCCATGTGGTATGTCTACGT